ACTAATGGAGAATGTCACGGTAATGAAAAATGTATGTTGGTGGATATGGATAGATAGTTTGATGGGGTAGCAAATGGAAATGTAGTGGCAAGTGCAGATTGTAATGTTGAAAATGATAGAAATGTCTAGACAATAAAAAAATGATAAAAACAGTAAATAAATGACATTTTGATAATCCTCACACAACAAGCTTCCACGAGAATGAATGGTAGAGATTGATTTAAGGATGCTAAAACTTATCTCTCAAGCATATTTGATTTATCTAAGCTCCACTTGCTCGATAGGGTTTGCTGAAAATGCTCCCGTATCTCTAGTCAAAGGAACCTAATAAAATATAATATCGCGACATCTCCTCTCATTCTCAAATATGGCAGCCTACACTATTGATAAAAACTACCCCTCTTAGTCATTGAAATCCTATCTTAGTCTCTCTCAAGTACTAAGAGAAGATAAGATTAAAAGACAAAAAGACGTCCTCAACAAGAGAGAATAATCATCTTCAGATTCAACATTTCCAATATAAAATTTTTTCTCCCTTGAGATAGTCTCATTTAATACAGAGGATTTATCTCACTATAGATTGTTTTTCTTAAAACGGACTTTGTCTCACTTGAGACTGTTTTACTCGAAAGAAGACATTTCATTTGACTCAAGATTGTTTTTCTTAAACAAGATTTGTCTCACTTGAGACAGTTTTTACTCGAAACAAGAAGATTTATTTCACTCAATATTGTTTTTCTTAAAACAATATTTGTCTCGCTTTAGACGGTTTTTTACTCGAAAGAAGGCATTTCATTTCACTCAATATTGTTTTTAAAGACGATTTTATCTCGCTTGAGATAGTTTCCCTCAAAACAGAAGATCTTATCTCGCTTGAGATAGTTTCCCTCGAAACAGAAGATTTTATCTTTCTTGAGATAGTTTCCCTTGAAATAGAAGATTTTATCTTGCTTGAGATAGTTTCCCTCAAAACAGAAGATTTTATCTCGCTTGAGATAGTTTCCCTCGAAATAGAAGATTTTGTCTTGCTTGAGATAGTTTCCCTTGAAACATAAGATTTTATCTCGCTTGAGATAGTTTCCCTCAAAACAGAAAGTTTTGTCTCCCTTGAGACAGTTTCCCTTGAAAGAAAATTTTGCCTCCCTTAAGACAGTTTCTCTTGAAACATAAACTTTGAAAACGTTTCTCTTGAAATGAATTTTATCTCCCTTGAGATAGTTTTCCTTGAAACAAAGTTTGTCTCTAAGACAGTTTCTCTTGAAACAAAGTTTGTCTCTAAGACAGTTTCTCTTGAAACAAATTTTGTCTCTCTTGAGACAATTTTCATTGAAACAAGAAATTTTATCTCACTCGAGATGGTTTTTCTTAAAACTAACTTCGTCTCGCTTGATACAGTTTTCCCTTAAAACAAGAAATTTATCTCACTCGAGAGAACTTCTCTTAAAACAAGTTTCTTATTCATTTTCATCCAGATGTTGAATATTTGACAAGAATTCCAAAGTTAGTAGAGATTTCATTTCACAATTCCATGATTGAAGAAGAAGATTTTAGCAAAGAATCAATTCACGTCTTCATTTTTTAAAGAAATTGATCTCAGTAAAATTCGAGAACCTTTGGGTCAATACCTTCGGGTACTTCAAACACAATTATTTCTTACATATGATAATCTTTTGCAGGTTTGAAAATTTTCAAAGAGAAGATAAATCGATCAACATTGCAGTAGAGAATTCATAATGAAGAGCATGTTCAACTTTTTGCTATATTATATCACAGAAGGAGGTAGATCAGCACCGACATCTCGTTCGATTCCATCACAGAATGAGAAGGAGGTAGATCAACATCGACATCTCGTTCGATTCCATCACAGAAATAGGTGGATCGACATTTATTTTTCTCAAATCCATCGCAGAAGGAGTTGGATCAACATCAACTTTTAGCTCGATTCTATCACAGAAGGAGGTAGATTAGCACCAACATCTTGTTCGATTCCATCACAGAATGAGGTGGATCGACATTTATTTCACTCAAATCCATCGAAGAAGAAGTTGGATAAGCGTCAACTTTTAGCTCGATTCTATCACAGAAGGAGGTAGATCAGCACCAACATCTCGTTCGATTCCATCATAGAAGGATCTGGATCGACATTTCTATTTTCGCTCAAATCCATTGCATACAGAGTTGGATCAGCATCGTCAACATTGTTATTCTTGCTCGATTCATCACATATGGAGTTGAATCAACAACACATTTTTTGAGGGATCAACATTTTTGGAAGAAAGATCACTATGAGAAAAACCCGCAACAAGAAGAGTCCAAGATGAAAAATGGTGTTTTATTATCTTTGCTCCATTCCTGTTTCACAGCAATGAGAAAAGAGAGGCAACTGTAAGCACCATTTTTTCAAACCCTACCACCATCCCATGTTTCCTTCACCATTTTTTAAAATACCGTTCACCTACCACCCAACCACCCTTGTAAATCACTCTCCCCTTTTCCACTATTTTCCCCAAAAATTTAGGGATGAAATAATCATCTTCTTTGACTTTTTTATAATAATTAGTGGTTGGGGTTATTAATACCCCAATCCCCCATATATCAAGGACGGAGGATTCCCCCGAAAATGGAATGAAAAAACAGTGTTTTTACTTTGGTTTTCTCTGCATTTTGGCTCTATTTTTGGTTTTTTCTTCGTTTTTGGTTTGTTAGTAGGGGATTTGAATAGCAAGGATAGTGAAATAATTGTAAGGCGTCTTCTCTCGTTTTTTTAGAGGAAATAAAAAAACATTTCGTTTCTAAAGCAATCTCAATTTATTTTCGAAATACATAGATTTTTTAACAATAAAAAAGAACCGAAAATCGCAACTCAAAGAGATTTTAGATTTACCTTGTTTCTGGAGTGGTCGTCGGGGTAGTCGTATTGTTGGTTAGAGGGTGGAATAGTTGGTGTCGATTTAAGGTGGAATGACCACCGCGTATGGTGGTTCGTAGCTTGGTGGCCGGAAGTGGGGTGGCGCTTGGCCTTCTCGGTCGCTTGGAGTGAGGAAAAGAGATTTTGAAGGGGAGTTTAGTTCTGTAAAAAATGAAAGAAAGACAACTTTTTTTTTGTTTGGCCTTCACGTGTTTAAAGAAAAGTAAATGGGGGTCTAAATTTTAAACTTTTTTGGGGAAATCATGCATAAGGTCTCCAGATTCTAAGGGGATTTTTGCTTGGTTCACATATCTTACTAGGTAAATCATGCATAAGTTCCCAGCTTCAGCGAATTTCATACTATGGTCTCCCTTTTTATTTTATTCCGATTATGCATGTTTGTGTTGTTTTCTTTTAATTTAGTCATCGTTAATTTCTGATTTAGCTACTGTTATTTTAATATTTTCATTTTGGTAATTTTTTATTTCTTATTTAGTTACTAACTTTTATTTTCTTGTATTTTAGTCATTATTATTTTATATTTATGCAATTAGGTCTTTATTTTATATTTATTTTATTTTATATTTTTTAGTGTTTTTATTATCTTTTGTTTTAATTATTTCAATTAAGTTTATTTTAACTTGTTTTGTTTCATAGTTTTAATTCTAGATTTAGTTTTTAAATTAGATTAATATTCGAATCAATTTGAGAAATTAGGAAGACATTATAGTTTAATTAGGGAGCAATGCAAGTCGAGTTTTCGCATTATATGACCGATTACTCGAATCAATTGTTTGATTAAAAATTAATTAATAATTAATATTTTCTAAAAATTTTAGTTTAATAATTTAGGTAATAATTAAGTTTTAACTAGTCTCTCAACTTTAGATTTTATTACAATTAGGTCATTATTCTTTTAAGTATTTTAGAACCTGATACTTTAGACTTTGACCCTATTAATCCCCAAACCTCAGTTAAAGCTTTAATATTGACATAATTAAATAGGTTAAATAGAGCCTTCATTTTAACTTAGATTTCAAACTAGTCTTTAATTTAGAGGATAATGCGAGTCTGCTCTCGCGTAAACGCTCGAGGGACCATCTCGGTTATTCGATTCAATAATTATTTTAAAATTAAATAAGATTAATACTAGAGCCTACGTTTTAAAATTTGAGCCCCCTAGGTTCCTTAATTTTCATAATTTGACACTTTAAGCTAGAAAAAACCTTAATTTACTTTTAGTTTAATTGGGATGAATAAAATTGTGTCTGATTGCATTTTATTTTAACTCTAAGAAACCGTTCACTTATTTAAGGAATTAATAGTATATCTCTCGAGATCGCGCTCAGGGGGTGACTACTGGTAATTCCCTAAATATGTCAACATCCTTTTCAAAACCACGTCATGTTTTCTAAAAACGAGGCAATGTTCGGTTATTAGACACAATAGTTGATCTTCCGCATTTACGCTCGGGGTCGAATGCTATCAGTCTCAATAAACGAATATTCTTTTCAACTTTGCATCCTTAATGATTTTTAAATTAAATAAAGATCGAACTCAAAATTTCCAATTTTAAATATAAGGTAATCAACTAGGTATTAATTTTTAGATACTTGTGGGGTGCTAATCCTTCCCCACACGTAACTGACTTCCGAACCTGATTTCTGGATTTTTGCATACCCAAAACTCATCTTTTATTAAAATAAAATGTTTTATTAAAATCACCCGATTTTTATGGTGTTCCAATAACACCTTAAATGATTGATGACGACTCCTCACATTTTGAAAACATTTTCAAAGAGACAACCCCAAGTCGATATCGGTCTTTTCCCATCCGGACAAAAAACGGTGTCGACAAACTGCGACACATTGTAGAATTCAAAAACAAATATCTACTCGAAAGGTTTTGCAACTGCCATATTTTTATTTGACTAGACAGAATTACAACCTAATTGGCATCTATACATCCACAGATGGTGATGCATTGGGTTTATGAGAATGGAGATCGAGAGTTTAACCTAAAATAATATTGCTGCATGATGACATGGAATGACAGCTCATTTCTAGTAGTAGCTTAGGTGGCTCCCCATATCTACTTTAGAAAAGCAATTTCTGAAGCGATTTTAGGACGACCTTTACAAAAACAGTTTTCCGACGATATAAAACCACAAGAACATAATAGAAATGATCTGAGCCATAGCTTTCCCCCAGGAAGACCACCCTTTCCATTTATATAAACAGGGGGACAATTCGTGCCAAGAGTGCACTCTACATCTGCCCCGAGCTGCTTAAGACCAGTAACCAAGTCCCCAATAGGTCTCTCTCTCATTCGAGGTACGCCATCAAGTATGTGGCTAAAAAGATGAATAACACATAAGCATTAGCTCAAAAACATGATAGCTATACATGAAACGAAGAGCAATAGCATATAAGCAGATGGTTCCATGAATATACAAATTATTTGCATACTCAACTAAAAGAATTCAGTGAAAAGCTTACATCCCCTTTTAACTGTTGAATTCCCTCTTATAGAGAAACATCAATGTAAAATGATTCATGATCGCCTTTCAATATTATATCTTCTTAAATCTACCATAATTGGACAGACCTTGAATTGCCACCGGCAGCGGTAACAGCAGCAGTAAATGGTCGCATTGCAGTTCCAGCATTCCCAAGAAAAAGCTCAATTTCTTGACCGTCGCCTTTACCAACAGGAAACCGACCACCGCAACCTTCCACAATCGCTAGTTTCTTTTCACTGTCATGTTCCAAATGTAGCCCAAGTTTCCCCAAAGCAACCAGCATGTGATGAACATCGCCACTGTTCAACAAATTGTCTACCACAGTGCTTCCCTACATGTCGAACAAAAATTAAAGCATATAGTAATTAAGAGGTATAAACACCAACCTTCATCAGAGTAATGAAATAAACAAACCTCGGATAGAGCAGCGAAAAGCAGAATCCGATTGGACAGTGATTTGGACCCGGGCAACTTGACCGTGCCCGAAATGTCCTTAATTGGTTGAAGCACGATTTCCGATGCTCTGGATGGCTTCTCCGATGTTGTCATTGAAGCGGAAACCTTCAAAGACCATGCCTTTACTGCTCCCAACTTACAACTGCTCTTCAAAATCAAAACCCGCAAGAAGGTGCAAAACTTGCTTTGAGAGTTGGTCCAAATGAAACTGAATGTAGAGATTTGGGTTTCTGGGGTGATGGGACATGGGGAAAAACACTTTTTTTTGTGTTCCACTGTAGATTTTGCTAACCTGTGCTATCGCACTCTCTCTCTCTCTAGCCTGTCCAAAACAAAGGAAAACATCAATTATTTTCGTTCTTAACGATGTTGTTGTGGTTGTGAAATTGATTTGGAAGGCGTCACCAACCACCTCCCACGCTACCGAAAGAATGCCGAATTTTCAAATAACGATATAATTATTGTTATTATTTGAGATTTTTTGTATTTATTTATATTAATAATAAAAAAATATTAAATACGTAAACTACATTCTTTTAGGGTAAAGTTTAAAAATGGTCACTAAAGTATCTTAAAACAATATTTTGGGCATGATATTTTTAAAAGTTATAAAATTGATATTATATTTTGAATTTTATTACAAAATAGACATAGCATTGTCAACCGTTGTTAGTTGTTGTTGAGGGGATGATGTGTCATATTAAAACTAAGGGTAAATTATGAGTTTAATACTTAAACTATCAGTTTCTATCCGTTTTAGTACCTAAACTTCATTTTTTGCAAAACCATATGTAACGTTTAGTTTTTGTTTCATTTTAGTACCTCATCTTTAAAAACGTAATGGACGGGCTGACGTGGCATAACTCCGGTGGACCGACGACCAATCTGAATGGTAAACCACGAAAGAATGACGAGTCGACCAATATAGTTCAGTTTCAAGCCCATTGGAAGGTGGGCCATGGAGAACGAATGATGAAGAAATTGAAGATTTCATCGTCGATTTGTTGATATTGAGTCATTTCCCGGTGAAACTGAGGTCGGAATCGTTTTTAAGGGGTCAAAAAGATGTGGGCTAGAAAGTTTAGGTTCAATCGGCCAATGGATGTTACGACCGACAACTGTAGACACGGCGGCCGACGAACCCATCCCTTAAGTTTTTAATGGCAGAGTACTAAAATGAAACAAAAACTAAATATTAGGTATGGTTTTGAAAAAACGAGAGTTTAGGTACTAAATAGACCAAAACTGATAGTTTAGGCAGTAAACGTATAGTTTACCCTAAAATTAATAGGGAATATCTTATTTAACCCTTCAAATATAACTAAAAATTTATTTTAATATTCCTAACTAATAATTTAATAAATAAATAAATAAATAAATGATAATTCATCATTTATATTAAAATTATAAAATATATATTTTTAAAAATTATAATTTTGAGAACACATTTTACAAATCATAAAATTTTAATAAAACTCTTCCTTACAACTGGAAAGGTAATATAAATTTAAACAATATCATATATATTACACTTAAAAATTATAAACTTCATTAAATAAAATTGTTAATAAAAATTAACTCGATTTGGTTTAATAAAAAGAACTATTCTTAAAATATTTTGAGATTCGAGGCTTGAGTTTTATTTTATATATTATAAGGTAATGTGTGTTTTCTCTTCATATTTTATTTTAATTTAAATTTTATAATGAATTAAATAGTAATTGAATATATTTCGTTTGTGATTTTATTTATATGAAAGAAAACGTTAATAAACTTGTTGCAACCGAAATCCAACAAAATAAATTCAACAGATTATGGCTGGTCAACTTTGGGATTTTAATTGGAATAATGCCAAAAGTGCCCCTAATGTTTGATTAAATATTTACTTTATCGGTATGAATCAAGTGACATTGATAGTAAATGAATTATTATAATTCTTTGAGGTCCCGGATTCGAGCACTATTAATACTAGGAGTGTAAGCGTTCAATATCAAATGATTGAGAGTTATCTTTGAACATATATTACCTTATACTTATTTTAGATTAATCAATAAATAAATATTCACTTCAACCACTATTTTTTGTTTTTGGAGCATTTCCTCCCCTGTTTTATTTTGGGGGGAAAGGTTATCTCGTGGAAATGGAGTCAACAAATGGTTAACTCTCTAAAACATGACTCTTTATGTAACACATCCAACCCGTATCCGACTCAGATCCGAGTCCGATGTATCACATTGACTTTTCAAAACTCTGTTCTTTATAAATCCATCAAAAAATCTTAAATTTATCCTTTGAGAAAATGAATACTTTACATTAATAACTACAATCAAATTGTTTTACAAATCGATCAGAGCATATTCGAATCAAATCTTGTAACTACATGCCAACTAAATTCTATAAAACAAAATATATATATATTTAATATGTTTCTGATCCGATATTCGTAAGGAAGATGCTGACCTGTCTTGCTCCTCTTTACACCTCTTCCCGCTTTCCAAACCTACGTGTGAAACAATTCACACGCTAAGTCGATAACTTAGTGAGGCATTAACATATAAATGTAACTCTAACTACTTATCCATGCATGAACATATCTACATATCATGCTATCACACAAAATGATATAACATTACATATAATCAAATGTACACATATACACATCATTAATCATTTCCTTCATTAATCTTATTTCACTATCAATATGGTTATCATTTATATCCTATAATCATATCCTTTTGTACCTAACGTTTTTAACCAACATGACTCATTTAACCACGCAATGCACATATCATCATTTAAATCATATAATACAATTCATTTTACCAAAAGCATATACATCATATATCATATGTTATTATTATCTCTTTGTTAGCCTATGTACATATATATGAGAACTATAGATATGTGAATACATTGAGGTTGTGCACTATGTTGTCACCACAGCTCGTATGTAGTCCTAATAGGGGCATGTGAAATTTGTCCCAAAGGACCTATGTATATCCCGAAGGACCTCTGTATATCCCGAAGGACCTATGAACCCTCGACTCTTGGCATGCCAACTATACATCTAGCTCTCCTTACACATAACATGGGCATTAGCATTATATCATTTCACATATTCATATAATCATATAGTTCACTTTCACATGTTTCTTATCTCTTATGATCATATATCACATAACTTTGTATCATAATTCATATCACATAACTCATGTCACTTCACATAAGCATATATCATATCTTGTTCACGTATATTTCCCATATAACCTATATCATATGATTCATATCATTCATTATGTCAATAGAATACAACTTATGTAAACATTTATATATATATATATTCATATACCAGTTCCTATACCTTATCACACTAACGTATATTCATACAAATCATGTCACACACATATAATAACATATAACTCATACACTCATCACAAACACATGCTCATGTTCATGAATTCATACATAATACTATAGGAAATAGACTTGTTGCAATTCTTATTTCCATTAAATATCATATACTATCTAATATACACTCACCTGGCCTCACTAGTCAATACCAATTCTTTTTCTCTTCTGGATAACTATTACTTGACACCTTGTCTAAACATTGCTCTTTGTTGATATCTACACAATAATACATGGATCCATATCAATATTCTAATTGATATACTCTAATCGTTCAATGTTACTTTCATCATTTATTTAAGGTAGGTATCGGTACACTCTATAGTGTATCGGTACATCCCTTAACGTGTGTATCGATACACTACCTATGTAACGATACATAAATTACATTCAATGTTTTTCGTTACAAGGGGTGTATCGATACACTTACTATGTATCGGCACACTTTAAATATTTTCTGCATTTTACTCTTGATGTATCGGTACATATTGAATGTGTACCCATACACCTTACCCAGATTTTCCCTTTTTGAACCCGAAAATTCACTCTAACCCACTTATTTCTTTTTATATAACCTTCTTTAAGTCTTTTAAACTTATCTACTATTATTCTAACTAACTTATATCACTTTAACTCATCTTAATATCTAATCTTCTATCATAAATTTAGAAACCAAGAATCTTACCAATTTATCAATATGTTCTAAATCTGTTTCTAACACTTTGAATATCTTATTTTGATTGATGAAGAGTCAAATTTCATTTCAAAATTCATGAACTTCTTATATTCCAATAATTCACTCAAAAACTCATTTTACCAAATCTCTTATATCTTGTTCATTCTTGAGTTTTAAGCTTATATAAACTTTCCCCAAGCTTATATAACACCCAAAGAATAAAATCAAACTTAAAAATTCAAAAATTAACCAACTGAAATTAAATTTACCTTTGTCATGGAGCTTACGGGAGAGAAGAGGAAGAAGATAACCCAATGCTTCAAAATTTTCTTTCCTTTCTCCACGTGTTACTTCTCTTATAAAAGGGAGGATAAAAATCTTCCTTGTAAAATGACCATAATACCCTTATTACTTTCAAACTTTATTATTAAATCCAATATCAAAATTTTCCAATTAAGTCCCTAAATTTTTTATATTTTCTGAGATTGGTCACTAAGTTTTCAAAACTTCTATTCTGGTCACTGACCCGACTTTTGAAATGTTACACTTTATCTTAAAACAAAATATTATGGGTCAAAATGATTATTTAGTTAGATATATAAAAAATAAAATTTTCAAATGAATATTTTATTGTTGAGAGTTGATAAGATTTTTTCTTTTTTGAGGAAAATTTTGATAATATTTATACCAAACATTTGGAGCATATTTTATTAGTATATTGAAATGTGGAAGGTTATACTCTATTATAAGGTGTTACGGTGATTTAATGAGCAACATTTAAAATTTGATTTACAAACTTCATGTAGAGTCGATGGATGGAATAATGTTAAATGAGGATAAAGTTGAGTTTTTGAATGTATGAAATTGATAATGTAAAGTAAATTTATAACCAACAACTTTTACAGTTATACATTGTACATGCTTTTTTCATATATATATATATATATAAATTCTAAATGGCATAATGTCAAAATTAGCCTCCAACATTTATTAAAATGGTCATTTTTCTCCCTATTCTATTTTTGGAGCATTTTGGCCTTTAATGTTTCATTTTAGAGCATAAATCCCCGTAACATTTGACATAATAATCACTTTTGTCCCTTATTCTTCTTTTATATGGCATTTTAGCCCTCAACATTTTATTTTAGGTTAAAAAGACTCCTATTTTGGAGCATTAATCGTATGTTAACTAATGATTTTCGTCTATAGAGAGAGCTTTTTGCCCCAAAGTGAAACGTTGGGGGGTTAAAATGCTCCAAAATAAAGAATAGGGGCCAAAATGATCATTTTGATAAACGTTGGGAGCTATTTTTAGCATTATATCATTCTAAGAAAGGGGAGTGCTTCTTAGAACTCGTAACCTAAAAAAATATGAAGGAACAAAGATAAGCATCTTGATCAATCGATCAAATATGTTTGCTCTGATACATTGTACATCCTTAATAATATATTCATACGTGTTTACCTATTGATACATGCGATCCACTTAATATATATATATAACCATTTTTATCAGTAAAAATTATAAATCTAACGGAAATATGCTTACTGATTAATAGATTGAAACAACTTCACCGATTGCTTGGTTGATAAGTAAATTTAACTTATAATTATATAATGAACATGGAGAAAATGAGTAGAAATGGTGAATATTAGAAGTTATATGTACCCAAAACTCATATATAGATGATATCCAACTAGACATTTAAAAGTGTATTTTCAAGTAACATTTATACTATATTATTTAAATTTGCATTATTATTTTTTTATTACTCTTCTGGTTCCAAGACTTCGCTTTGACTGCATTACCTTTTTAGTTGTATTGAAGGCTTTTTTTTATAAAAAAAATTATGATTTGTAAAAGATTTTCTCAAAA